CGCCGCCGCCAGCCCTCTTCCTCCTCTTCGCGTTGGCGTCGGACCGCCACGAGTCGCTGAGCTTGCTCACGCTCTGGCTGAAATCGACGTGGATGCGGCGGTCGTCGATCAGCACGCCCTGCATCTTGAAATAGGCCATCTCGCATGCGTCCTTGTCCTCGAACTCGATAAAGGCGTACTGCAGGCTGTCGCCGGAGCGGGCGTCGCGGATGACCTCGCAGCTTAGCACTTTGCCGAAGCGGCTGAAGATGAGCTCGAGGTCCTCGTCGCGCGTCACGGGGTTGAGCTTGCACACGAAGAGCACGTTCTCGGGCGGCTTGACCTCGGCGAAGGGCAGGTCGCCCATGATCTCGAGCGTCAGCGCCTGCGCCTTGGCCTCGCGCTCGTGCCGCGCCCGCTCGGCCGCCGCGGCGCGCTCCTCGGCCGCGGCTTCGTCGCCGTCGCCGTCTTCCTGCGCCATCATGCGCGCCGCCTCGTCCTCGGCGATGCGCACCGTGGCCAGCTGCGCGGCGGTGGGCGGCGGCGACGGGCTCGGCTCGCGCAGCCCCGCCGGGTCCGGATACGGGTCGTCTAGCACGATAGTGTGCTTGATGCGCATGTCGACGAGCGGGTGGCCCTTGTCGTCGACGATGGCGTCGTTGATCTTCTCGAGCGTGTCGAATCCCTCGACCACCTTGCCGAAGACGGCAGCCTTGCCGTCGATGTAGGACGTGTCGTCGCCGAGCGTGATGATGAACTGCGAGCCGGCGAGGCGGGGGGCGTCGGGGTCGGTCGGATGCGACGGCGCCGTGGCCATGCTGACGGTGCCGCGCTCGGCGTGCCGGAGCTTGGGGTGGAAGAAGGCCGGGAAGGTCTTCTGGGAGGGGTCGTCGGGCGAGAGCAGGCCCCAGATGCTGCTGCCGCCGTCCGACTGGGGCGCCATGGGGCCTAGCGGATCGCCCGTCTGGAAGGAGAAGGACTTTTGGACCGAGTGGATGGGCGCAAAGTTGTAGTACTTGACCTTGCAGAGCTTAAGAAAGCTTGAGAGCCGGGTGTTAGTCTCGCGCTGCGGCGGTTACAGAGCAGAGACTGGCTGGGTTGACTTACTTTTCGCACAGCTTGGGTGCATGGTCGACCAGCAGATCAATGATGATGTCGCCAGCGCTGGTCTCTAAGATGACCGCCATGATTGCGGCGCTGAGGGCAAAGTCCCAGAGGATCCTGACGGTGACGAAATCTCGACAGCCGGATCATGGAACTTTGAAAGATGCGGCGACTGCACTGTGACATGGAGATTCGCGACGCAATCCACAACCGCCTGACTCGGGTCCAAGCTCAATTCTCCGGCGTGGCGCTGACCAGGCCTGTGTGGCTGGCTGGATGCTCAAGCTTCATGTGGCGGCTGTCAGACACTAAATCATCACGTGCTACAATTTCCACAGCGTTCCATCCCGCCCGGGCTTCGTCTGGAAATCTCATCCGATTGCTGGCCGGTCTGGACTGAAGGCGAGCGTGGAGATTGGATCAAAGCCAGGGTTCGGACGTGCATAGATGTGCGATAATGATGTTATTAACCCCTTCCTACGCGTGACAGTGGTGACCCTGCGCTGCCAAATAGATGGGCGTGGTCTGGTATCAGCAAGAAACAGACAGAGGAAAACACAAGATGCTGGTGAAACAGCTCTGCACAAGGCTGGTATTACATTGAATGCAGAGGAAGCAAAGCACAAAGGAGAGCAACAGTGACCAGGCCCAACCCGCCAATCCAATAATGCATGCAGAACGCGCAAACCGAACCCCAAGCACCCCGACCCTTTTTTCCCCGGGTGAAACTCATCTGACTTGTCTCAGATCGTGTTGCCATTTCGCCCCTCAATCTTTTTTTTTTATTCCTCTGCTGATTCTTGCGTCCTGCCCTCATCCCCGCAAACTCTTAAACGAGTAGAAAACACACGAACGACAGACGGGCATGCATCACCCCAGACGAGCGGGGGAGGCACAGGTCGGACCACAACCCCAAAGCGCCAGGTCCCCATCAATTCCAGAGGGGTCGTCACCGAAACGAAACGGGGAACAGGTCAACCCCTCCAACGTTCCCGGTGGGTCTGGTAGTAAATGCCGAGAGGACGACTCAGGTCAGACCACCCTCTGTCAGCTCCTCCCCACCACCTAGACGCGCCCAGGCGAACCAGAGGGCACCGCGGAGTACCGAGGGCCTCTTGGCGGCAGGAGCCCTTCGACATGACCCCTCATAAGACAAGAGTCAAGAAAAGCAGCAGGTCTTGACAAAACATCTTGCCAAACACTGACAAAAAGAGAACCCACAGATGGGGAAGATGAGGGTCCTTGCTGGACGCAGACCCCAAGCGGGGAAAATGTGAGGACTAGGGAGGGGCAGTATCGCCTCCCATCAGAGCTTGCGAGTCTCGAAACAAGCAACGCGTGGCAGGGCATGAAGCGGGGCAAGAAAGCCGGTCCAAGCTCCAGCCCCACCGATTTATTGTGTATAGCAGGCGCCCCTGTTCAATAGTGCTCGGTTACGCCGGGGGCGCTCCGGCGCCTCCGGCCGGTGCGAAGCTCGCGCTCCGTCTCGAGCAGGCGGCCCTGGACCCAGGTGCGCAGGGCGCGGTCGGCGCGGACGGCCTCACAGTTGAGCAGCTCCGTCAGCGCGCGCTTGATGCCCTCGTTGACGTCGAACAGCCGCGCCTCTTCGGCCGCTACCTCGTGCAGCGTGCGCTCGTCGGGCACCGTCTCGAGCCCGAACGGGGCCGCCGCGGTGGGCATCGAGCCGTGCCGGAACTGCTGGCGCTGGTGGTGGCGCGTCGGCGATGCCGTCGACGATGCGACCGATGGCGACCGCCGGGCCATCGACGGGGCAGCTGGCCGCAGCTGGTCGATGTGGTGCTGCAGCGACTCATGCTGCTCCTGCAGGAGCAGATACTTTTGCAGCGCAAAGTCGCGATTATGGTGGTGGTGCGGGCCAGCCGACATGGTGAGCGGGCCAGAGGTGCTCTGAACTGCGGCAGACATTGTGCGCTTGTGTGCCGTGGGGCGTAGCAGCCTGCGGTCAGGTGTTGTTTGTGTTGATGTTGATGTGAGGAGGAGCGAGGACAGAGAAGGTAGAGTCGATCGTGCCGCTGTGGTTGGTGCGGCGACGGCTCCGACAATAGCAACTGCTGGTAATGTCGAAGTCGAGGGTTGCGGTGTTGGTTGTGGCAGTCTCAAGCTGACCGTATATGATCTTGCTCGGGGTAGCGGCAGAGATAATGCACCCATCGGAAGTGGCGACGGGTATGTGTGGTTGTGGGGGCGTTTGCTGTGTGTAAGTGCGTCCCAGCTTCTGGTGTGTATCCAA